GATTTAATGGCATGCCCCACAGCGTCACTGACTGCCGATCAGAGCAGACAGGTGTGGAAGCCTTGCCTGTCGGATCACGCCATCATAAATCTCGACCCCGACGGCGGTGGCCCTGCCAGACGCGACCGCGCACTCACGCCGACAGAGTTCCGAGGGCTCCCCGCCGAGGCCCACGCCGAGCTACGGCGGGTGCGCACCTATCTCGAGAAAGCCCATGCCATTCTGGAGGTTGACCTCACGGCCTTGACACAACCCATTGACTGGGCGCGGCCTGCGTCTGCAGGCTTACTGCCGGACCAACGCGATCTCCAAGACGGCGGCGACGAAAAAGTAGACGCCCAGCCGCATCTGCTTCAACAGCCACAGAGAGATGATGTTTCCCCGCCCTATCTGCCTGCTCTGGGCATGTTGGGGAGAAACGTGCTCTCGTCGAGCCTGCAGCAGCGGTGGAAGCAGTGGACCAGGAATCGTAAACAGACCAGCCCGGGAGCACTGCTCGCTCAAGCTACGCGCGACATTGGCACACTGCAACCTGTTGGCCCCCTAGCGGAATGGTTAGAGCGCTCGGGCTGGGAGGGAAGAGGGCTCGCACAGGCGAAAGCCAACGGGTGGCTCCGGAGATGGGTCCTTGAGATGGCCCAGAAACGCGCCAGCGCCCTCATCCCGTCCGGGCGGGGACCAGGTGCCGAGCGACAGCCGCTGGCAGCCCATTTCGAGACTGGTAGAGAAATGTTTTAGAAACTGCAACCGGAATCCGGGATAATGACGGCAATTGGACCGAGAAGAAAGCGGAAGTTGACCAGGTTCTGATCTCTGACCGCGTTTTCTGGATGACAGTCCCAGACCTTCCACTTTGTGCCGACGATCTTCTCGACAGCTACTCTAGGGGCGGTAAGACCATTGCCCTCGCGTGCCAACCCCTAGATGGGGGTCGGTTTGCTTCGCTGGTACTAGCTATGGCACGCAGCGCGCCAGGCGTGGACGGGGAACCTTATGAAGTTTACCACGCAGGCGCGCCTTTCATTGCCTGCCTGATTGCACATGCGTGGTACCTCGCTGACCAGAGTCCACAAGACATTGCCGCAATACTTGGGCCCTCGGTGGACTTTCACATGTGGATAGGAAGAAGCCTGGCGCTGAGCTACCAACTGACATGCGACCACTGCAGTTACCCACCTGCCTTCGACGACTTCTCGGAGCCACCTTAGCCGACCTGCTTGGGCCATAGATTGAGCCACTGCTCTCCCAGGATCAGGTGGCCAAAAAAGTCGGACAATGCGGGCCGAGCATCAGAACCGCCGCAGAGCGTCTCGGCCGAGACCCACACCTGGTGTCCCCGCCACGGGACACTTGGGAAAGAATGTTCGGCAGACGCTACACGGCAACAGAGGGGCACATAGAAGAATGTACGGCAGACCTCACATCGGCACCGAGCACAGCAGTCATTTTCTGCGACCAAAACAGAGCCTTCGAGCGCCTCTCGATGCAATGGATCGGCAAGTTGCTCCAACGGCGGGGCCTCCCCGCATGGATACGCGGCGCGCTCGCTGCCCTTCTTGCCGACCGTCGCGCGCACATGAACAGAGGGAAATGTCGCAGCCCCAAACGCAAACGGATGCGCTCAGTAGGCATGGGAGGGGACTGCGTCTCCTCTCTTATGGTGCATTGGCTACGGCCCCATCATTACGGCCATTTCCGACGTCACCAGAGACAGCTGCCCCGCCTTCGTGGACGACCTCGCCTCCCTTCTCCAGAATGCGGCACAGACGTTCAGGGCTACGATAGCTCTTACATGGGCCTCGAGAGCCTGGGCTACTTGTCAACTGCCACACATGCTGCGGGTTTGAGGCGCAAGGGAATACAAGCGTATTAAGGCAGCTCCTCGACGGCATGCCTGTAGATATGGAGCACACGCTGGGCGGCACACCCGACTGCGCGCGGATCACCGGGCTTCCAGTCGGACTGCTCTGCCGGATCATCACCGCCCGCCTGGGCGACGCACGCGCCTGCTCCAGACTGCATGTCGGTGCAAGTTCAAGACTGCTTTAGAGCCGTCTGGTCACCACTCCCGGTGGAAAAAAGTGCTCGGCCACTCCCCGTTTGGTAGCAGCTGCGTGCGGCCAACGTGGCCATATCTTGGCGCATGCATCGCCTCGGAAAGTTCGGAGGGGCCACTGCCGCCCCGCGGTCGTTTCACACCGGAGCAAGCCGCTGCGCTCATCCAAGGCACATGGCAAAAAGCTCCCCAAAAAATCCGCACTCGCAGCACCACCCTCCGCCTCGCCAACCTCTCTCCCACGCGCATTGCTGCGGCCTGGAATTCGCACATTGCGTCCGTCGTCCCGTACCCCGCGCACTACTTCTCACCAGATGTCCGCATAGAGCGGGACCTCCGCGCGCAACTCCAGGTTTGTTTTGGGATGGCCGGTGCCGCCTGGATGCACGACTACATGCTCACCGGGATTGGGATTCTCTTCCAGGTACCAGGATCGCCCAAATGTCTTGCTGCACTGGCGCGCGCGGTGGCAGCGCTCGGGCACGTCATGGATGACATCTGTGGTCCTACACCAGCGCAGAGACAGGCACGGCTCCGCTGGAATCGCGCTGTAGGGTGGGCGCGAAACTACCCCTCACACTGCGCGCCCCCTCGTCCTGGCGCTCGCGTCATGACAGCAGGCAAGGCCACTGCTATCATTCTACAGGTACACGACAAACCAGCCCTCTGCCATGGCAAGAATGTTGCGCGCGCGGTTTACACTGCCGCCCGGCGCCAGCTACACGGGCTCCCGATGCAGAAACAGCTCAGGCAAACCAGCGCTGACCGCAGGTGGGCTGCCGGCATCGGTGTCGAATGGGACCTACTTCACCACGTCCCCTCCTTCACGGCTGCGGTTCACGCGCCCCGCTTCCTTTCCAACGGGATGCCAGGATCAGCGAGACAAAGGGGCGCCGCAGACAGACTCGAGCACGTCTGCTGTAACTGCCACCAAACAGCACACAGGATTTGGCACACTGCCAGCTCCCAACAACACGGCGACGCCTGGTGCCACATCCGCCTCGGAGAATGGTCCAACCAGATCGCCCTCTGGGCCTCGCTCCCGAACGACGTGCTACCGCAGGAGCTCCACCGGGCAGCGCATGCCATCAGGGGCACAGGACCACCTGCCTTCAGATTCCGTTCGCTTCTGGCCCTTATGAGGTCTGTCCGCTGTGCGGTTCAGGCGAGGCAACAACGGAACACATGTGGACATGGCGCACAGCAGTCGCAATGGCCTGGGACCGGGTCAGGCAGGGGGGAGAGCCGCTGGATCTGGGAAGAGCTGTCATGACAATTGGGCCTTACCAGCAGACGGCAGCTATAGTTGTGCATCAGATCTCCTTTCGGCACTGCACTAACCGCACGCTCACCCCCTAGCTCCACAGGTGCGAGATTGATCGCACTTGGCCTTGAAGTCCCCGATCGCATTGAACAGGCCGAAGAGTCTGAAGATATCCCCCCACCAGCGCGTGAAGGCCAGGATGCTGAAACTGCAGTATGGGATCCGATTGAAGATTACTGTGAAGCGTGCAATCCCAAATCTCTGCCTCGCCGCGCGATGCACAGCTCAGCTGCTCCGCGCGCCAACCGCGCTGCAGATCGGGCGGGAGGCGAGATCAGGGGGCTGCCTGTCCTTAGCTGCGCAGTCGCCTCCGGTGAGCTCCTTGCTACACTGCGCGCACATCTTCCCAGAGAGGGCTGGTTTTTTCCTGGGCCTAGCTGGTTCCCATGCCCGCGCGCCGATCCCATGCCTGCAGCCGAGTGGACGCGCTGGCGCTGTCGCTTGCGCGACACCTACGTCACAACACTCCGTGCCATTCAAAACCTCGAGCGGGAGTTGAGGTCACTGTCAACCACCCTCCCTTCCCTAACTTTGACTCCACCTCCTGGCCGTACGAGGTCACCCTTGACGGCGGTGCGCGCACGCCCGGAGAGCACAAGGTCGCTGGAGGCAGCGTCACGCTTTGGTACCACAACCCAGAGACTGGACGCCCCGACCTCGTCGGACTTGGCATCGTGGCCTTACCCAAATCTGATAGCTCACAAGCAGCCGAAGTAGCGGGATGCAGGGCAGGGCTGTCACTACTCAGCTTCACAGCGTGTCGGGGGCAAAGAGCACGCGTCGTTGGCGACGATCTCGGTGCCATCAGATATGGGGCAGGCACGGCCAGGTACAGACGTCTCACGCTCTGCCAGCAAATGGAAACGGGCCTTCGGGCCGCCGAGGATGCTGGGTGGGCGCTGACCTGGCAGGCCGCGCGAAGACGCCCCAACGAAGCTGCTGACCGCCTGGCCACGCTGGGCGTCTTTAGGGCCCACAAGCTGCAAGAAGCCGGCCAAAATGCAACCGCCATCCTCTTCCACCGTGCCTCCGCCGCCCCTCCTCTTCCCCTCCTTTTTCCTGTCTCCCAGGTGGACCTCCTGGAGGCAGCTGGCACTGCTGCCGCGGTCGACGCACTGGAACGCCCGTAAGCCGTTTCGGCTCAGGGGGCGCGCGGTCGGGCCCCTTCCCCCCCCCCCCCCCCCCTGCCGCTGGCATGGCCAGCGATCGCTCGCCGGGATCGCGCCTATTATGTCTTTTCCTTTGGTACTAAGGCTGCAGCGGTTAGCTGCCGCAGCGGGTATGACCACTGAAGCAGCATGGGGCAGCAACGGGATGGCACGCGTCTCGGCTCGCTGTCTGGCGCTGGGGCCGCACGACCCAAGTGGGCCGCGGCGCGCAGCGGCGTGACATCGCCACCGGACAGCCCATGTTCGAGCTACGTGACATGCCGACGATGGTTTGGGGGCGCATGCAGACGTGGGGATGGCTGTGCGGGCCCTGCCAGATGCACGCGTGGGATGTTCTGTGGAGATCATCACAAGGAAATGATCACCAAACAATGGAAGGACGGCTGGCCAGATCCGAGTCAGTTTGACTCCGCTGGGAATAATTATGCGGACGCACACCAACGGCACATGCATGGACAAGGTCACCGGGAAACACATCACACGCCTCAAGTGGGGTGGATGGGAGCCCGAGTGGAAGGCCGCGCCAGTCGATTGGGCGAAACAGGGACTACCGGGCCCATGGATCTCGATGTGCCGCGGCCAGGAAATGCTCCTCCCACCAGACTGGGGCCATGCTCCAGTCCGGTACCCCACGACCTACCAGGAGTCCATTGTTTTGCCGCCGCTGGGAGTTACCGGGGACAAAGATCAAGTCCGCCCACCAAACAGTGCTTGGGCTCCTGGAGCACCCGCGCACCCTCGACCACGGAACGCCATGACACAGTGAACCCAAAGTATTGACCACCGACGACATCGCTTGCAACGAGAAGGCAGCGCAAGCAATGGCACCACCAGGGCCCCCCGGTGGCGCCTTGCCAATCGCTCTCCCTCTGGAAGAGGCCGCCTCGGTTGCTGGTACTGGCAGCTCAGGCGCCGCTGCGAGCACTGCTGGACACCTGGCACCGTTCCAGCCGGCCAGTCTCCCGGACACAGGGCAACTCAGGCCAGTCAAGTGCGCCGTCCAATCTTTTCACCGCACCGGGATACCTTTCTTCCTTCGGGTCGTGGACGAGATGCCGCTACTGAAATCAAGGCGATCTACAGTTTCCGGTGGGATCACGGAAGACAAGCGATTATTCTCTCGATTTCCTCCGGAAGGGTCCCCAGTGGAGTACTTTTGCCCAACACTTGGGCAACTGACGTCAAGGAACACGTCACCAGACTTGTTCGGATGAGCCAAGTTGAAATGCGCGCCAAGGTACCTTGACCCAGACTATGACGGAACAACAAAGACCCGTAGGGACTTGAAAGCCAAGCGCGCCTGCGCCTTAGACGCTAGCCTGGAACTGGTGACACCAGCGAGTCGGCACTGGTTCATTCAGGAGTGCAAACTGGAGGATTGGATCGAGGAGAGCGAAGCCACGGACTCCTACGTGATTAACTGGGACACCGGGTGGCAGCTGCCGCAGACTGGGGATGAAGGAGTACGAGCGGTGCTGCGGTCATACATAGGATCCAACACCGACGAAATCGCTTGTCTCCGCATGGTCTTCCCTCGTTTCCCCGGGCGGGTCATCCCAGACGGCAAGCGGAGGCTCCATCCGCGTTGTCGCGTATACCCAACCAGCGGCTCTCTGGTCAAGCACGACAAGGTCGACGGGCCACTGCACAGCACCTCTGCTGTAGCGCCACTGCCAGAAAAGACAGGGGCGCCTCGCTACTGCGTTGACATCGCGCCACCCCCCTTGTTGGCCCCTGCGGGGCTGGGTCCGGGTGCGCCGGTTGCGCCCAGCGCTCCGCCAGTTCCTGCTCTTCTCGTTGTCCCGGCCCCTGTTGGGGCCGCCCCCGCGGGCGGGGGCCTTTCGGCCCCCTGGCGTTTTCGTTGCGGGGCTCAGACTGGTGGTCTCACCGGTGGCCCCCACTTGCGGGATGCGGTGCGCGACCAGCCGGGGCAGCGCCATGCAGATTTCAGAGAGGCGGCGCTGAGCATGAGGGAAGACCCGTGGCCAGATTGGACGATTTTTGGCCCTCGGACCGCTCTCTGGCGCTGCCGATTTATAGGTCACCGCAATGTACGCTGGCGCCAGGAAGGTGGCTTCACTGACAGCGGCCTAGTGGCCGATGAACATGGGAAGTGCTGCAGGGCCTCTCCGAATATGCCGCAGTCTTTGACCACTTGAATGTGCCGAGTCACGCTTGCCTGCAGGTCATTTGTCGCGACCTCGAGGCGCAGGAGGAGCGTTTTAGGGAACGAGTTGCCAACCCCGACGCGTTTGGCGCGGACCGCCAAAATTGTCTTGGGTTCTGGCAAAATGCGCGGCAATAGATGCATCTGTCGCGATCTCCAGAGCCGTGTCACTGCGGATGTTGCCCTTGAGTCAGCGATTGCCAGGAGCGCCGTGAGGCGCGAGAGGAGAGGGCCCTGGCCATGGGAGGCGGAGCAAACCACCTTTATGCGAAGGCTGGGGCCAAGAAGAGATGAGTTCTTCGGGGGCGCAGGGCTCGTCCCGAGTCTCCGCCCACCTCCGGGCCTCCCTCCCCCTCGGCGGGCGCTGAGGCGCCGGCGCTGCCAGAGCTATGCCGACGCCTGGGCCGCGGACGGGGCTGCTGTTTGGATCGTTCTTTATGGTGCGTGCACACCGCCCGCTTTGCCCAACGCTGGTCAGCAGCGGGTGCATCATCACATCTTGGAGTTTCACGGGGGGCCTTGATCGCCCCCTGGGGGGGCCGATTTTGAGCTGGGGGCCTTCGGCGAGCCCGTGCCTGGGACCACGGTCTAAACCTCCTATTCTGGCCCCGTCGTGCTTCACTCTCTTGAGCGCGCGTCGTGGCCCTCCCAGGATTGCAATCCAGTGCCTGTTCTGGATGCGTTGTCCCCTGCCGACGCGTCCGCGTTAAGGCTTGGCGAGGGAATCTGCGCAGGCCGCCGGCCGAGGCTGGCGCCCTGCGTCGCGAGGCCTGCCCGAGGGAGCGCGCGTCGACCCCATTCTCTGCTTCCAGCCCACCTGAACCTGCAAAGTTTGTGTCGTGCCAGGCCTGGGACATGGTGAGTTCCCAGGCTGCCCATGGAGGATTTTCTCGCGCGTAGGATATGTGATCCTCAAGTTTTTATTTTAGTTCGCGCGTGGTTAACTGTTCGTTTAAGATCCCGCCTAGCACCCGCTTGCCGACAACGAAGTGTCTTCGCTAGTCTGGAAGTCTCTGGAGGCTCCTGTGGGACCTGGAGAATGCGTATTATCGTATGGACGTGCCGCTCGACTGTCCGACCTGTTCGTTCCACCCGTCATCAATGTCAGGGTCCTCGCGTCCGTCGAAGTGACTCGAGTCCTTGGGGGCCCTAGTGAGGTCACCCTGCCGCGCTAGAGGGTCATGCCACTTGGATTAAACCGGGTCATGCATCTATGCCAGGCTCGTCTACGCTGGGCCGTCACAGAAGCTCGGTTAGACTTCGCCAACCTGGTGGAAGACGGGAAGCCATGCTCGAAGTGCCCGTCGTCTTTGTGAGGAGCAGCGCACGTATACAATTTATTTTTCCTGGGTAAGTCCGCTAAAGACGTGGGCGCCAGGCTTCGCGGCATATCGCGCCGGCTTGTGGCCATTGGTTTGCTTGCGCACGAGCTCGAGACCGCGTCACTGGATGCAGATGTTTGGGGAATGACGTTGCACAGTGGATGTCAGCTCTCGGTCCGTGTTCATCACCGTCATCTGGCGTCTTCGGCACGCCGTCGAGGAGGTTCCCAGCAGGAGGAGGAGCAGCGGGGCCCTTATACGCGTGTTGGTTGGCCTTTGTATTTGGGCAATCCACATCCGCCGTGAGGGTGTGAGTTTGCTGCTGTCTGTATCTACTTTCATCGAGTTTGCCGGCGCCTCCCCCATCACCCTGTGGAAGTCCGTCTGTTGGACCGCGCTGCCCCCTTCTGCCATTGTTCCGCCTGGACCGATTGGCCGAATGGCATACCCGTGCGTGCTGTAGTGAGGTTAGCGAATTCGGTTTCGGGGTCGTACACCGTCGTCTCGACCCTGATCGCGTCGCTGCTATCGGCCGTTCCTGTGAACGTTGGCGCTAGCATGTCGACGGCACAGAACGTGCCCGGGAGCGCGTGCTGGACCCTGAACGGCTCGATCTTTCGCATCCCCCTCGCTCTGCGGCATCGGAAGCCAGGCGGATTTCGACAAAGTCCTTGCGGGGCTTCTGAAGCCTGGAGGTTGGGGCAACGTCGTGGCGGTCAGCGTGCCGCCGGGGTCCAACATCATGGAGCTGGGGGGGGGCCTGGTGCTGGCCTTGCGTCACGTGGTCCAGGACTCGAGCGCGATCGGCCAAAGGGCGCTCGCGCTTGTGGACAACCCCCCCTGACCTTTGAGGATTTGCTCTTCTTAGAAATTCCCAGGGCGTTGTTTGATTTCTTGTGCAAGCAAAAGAAAACGTAGGCGCTTTGGAACTCCTGTGTCTGGCGCTTTTGATGCCCCAGCAAGAAACTAAACACGCAAACGAACACGACTCATGTTTTTGTTGCTTTTTTCAGCTTCGTTTTTTTGAATGCTGCAATTGCGTTTTTTTGCATTCTCAGACAAACTGGTTGCATTGTGTAACATTGCCGTGGCCATCAGTGCTGGCGGGCTCGATGGCCGATTACCCCTCCTGGGGGAAGGGGACAGAGAGTGGTTGCCAGGGAACATCCCCTCACTTCCCCTCCCAGTATTCCTTTTGGCCCCTCCTTCGGTGTCCCCAACTCCTCCACGTCCAACGACCCCTGCAACGTCTTTCCTTCCTCCCCGTCTTCGCCCCCCCCCTCCGCATGTTCGCATGTTGGTCCATTCCTTCTCCGACTGCTTCAGTTACGTGTCTATCAAGATCTCTCATCGCACATCTCCTCGTGTTCCACCGTGGGGCGCCCAGGCATCCGCAGAGCCGCCAGAGGAGAATGCGCCCCCGTCGCGCGCGCAGCTTTTCAGCGATGTGGTCTGGCTGCGGCGCCGAATTCTTTGGCTGGCTGATTCTCGTGGTCAATTATGAGGTTTTCTGGGGAAGGCAGTTTTTGCGCGCTGATTCGGCATAGCTGCGCGTTGTGCGTTATTTTCGGGGCTTTTCGTGGCGCCGAATGCATAGGACTCCGCTTGCTGTACGCGAAGAAGACGATATTGCAGAAAGTGCAGGACAGAGAGAGAGAGGGAGAGAGACAACCGCAGCTGCTGGGCGGACGCCGCCGAACTGCTCCGAAGGGTACAGTTTGCTTCGACCTGCCACGACGAGGATGACCGTGGCTCCGACGTCATTCCGCATCCAGTTTTGGCTGATCCACGGTCCACGGTGTTTCTTGTAATTCGCTACGCCTCCAAATTGCTCAAGGGTGCATGGGGTACCTCCCTCCCTCCACATTGCCGATGCACTGGCGATGCGGCGCGAGCCAGCGCTGGATTCTCTTCTGAATTCGCCGATGCCCTGCCGATGCATCGGCGGTGCGCTGCAATTGTGGGACGGCTCCAAGACGAGATGTGAGCATTCCGAAAATAATCAAAGTCGGTCCAGCAGATGAGATTTTATCCCTCCCTACGCGTCCTTCTCCTCGAGCCGCCGATGAATGATGATGACGTGCCGACGGTCAGATCATAGGCGCGTCATCGTCACTAACGGGCCAATCATAGCGACGCCGACTCTCGGGATCCGGCTTGGGGATTGTCCCGGAAGCGCCAGGAAGACTTGTAGAGGGCCCCGAGATGGGCCAGAATAGAGCCAAGATGGGCCCGAGGCGGCTTCGGAGGTCCACAAGATGGCGCACAAGTGAGCATCTCCGCGTTGGAGCCGAGCCCCGTCAGAACGTATCCCGTTCCAGGCCCAGATCGGGGCAGGATTAGGTTTTTTGGGGCCCATTCTTGATTCAGAATCGTCTGACAATTCAACCGAGAGCGTGTCCAAAATGGAGCGTCGAATAATCGAATTTACAGGACTGCCATGGAACAGTGCGAGCATCTGCTACGAGAGGCGCGCGGGCGGGCCCGAGCCAGGCACACATGTGAAATCATTACATTTGTTTTTTGTTCGGGGGGGAATGGCCCAAGGTGGACCACGGAGCCGATTCTGCAGGCGAGAAAAACAGTTTGCGAGAGATCCAGAATTCGAGTTCATTTTGAATGCCTCGTTGAAGCCCTTTTGACTTTGAAGATGTGACTTGCCCGCAACGAGCGGCGGACTGGCAAATGTTGCTGTGGAACGAATGACGGCTAAAGCATTGGAAGGTGCTCCCGACGATAACTTCCACGCGCCTCCTCAGTCGGGTGTGTATCCTCAAGGCTTACGCCCTTCCGCCGAGACCCCCGAATGTGGGTCCGTGACGATGTCCGGGCTTGCTCGGATATCCCATGGGAGCACTAGGAAAACGAGTGACGGAGGTGTGTGATGTGAGAGCTGTGTGATGTGAGAGGCATGTGCCTTGAATGGCCAGCCAGATTTGTTTTATGATGTAGCGTGTTGTCCTCACAATGGGGCACACATCGAGCATGACAATGCAAATCTCTCAGCCAGGCGCATACTGGGCAGTGTGAGCGTGCGGTAACGCTATGCCATTTACGCGGGAATGCCCGAGCACGGTGTGTTGTTTATTTGTATTGTTTGTTGGTATCTCCGTATAACTCACTCTCTCACTTTTTGTTTATAATTCTCTCTCTCTCTCTCTCTCTATATATATATCCCTCGCTCGCTAGTCATCCAGAACCCTGGGGACATCTGAGACCGAGCCGGCTCTCCAAGAACCTACACCCCCCCCCGCCGCCGCGTCTTCCTCCCCCCTGCCTCCTTGCGCTCTTGAAACCCCGTCAGGGCCTGTTGCACATATGCCCCGAGCCCACTGAGACTTCCCGTGAATGACCCCCCCCCAGGCTCCAGAGACCCGAGCCGCGCGCCCATTCAGCAGCGGGGCGGGCACACGACCGCTGGCCCGCCTGCGCCCCCGCCGGGGACCCATGGCGGGAGCTCGCCCGCCACTGCGGACGGCTGCCGGGCCGAGCCACCGGTGCGAAGGGCGCCAATGGAGGCCGGCGCCGCCGAGGCCCAGCACGAAGCAGTGGGTGGGGTGGGGAATTCAAGGTGGCCAGCCCGAATGAAACAGCGGGCCCTGCCCGCCCCCTTCTCTCTCCACCCAGACAAATAAAAGTAACAACAATTAGTAAACATAACAGAAGCCCACCCCCCTAGCACCCTCAATTTTATACAACTGGTACGACTGTGAGATTAAACTGGCGCGCTTTGCCACCGAGGGTACGAAAAAGCGCTCGCGCGCGCGCGTGCACGGCCCCGCTTCCGCGTGTCCGTCTATGTTCCTCCACGTCCTATATTTCGGTGTTGTCTTGTATCGTGCTCGTGCTGCGTGCAACGCGCAGGCCCCGATACAGCTTTACCGAAGGAGCGCGTTCTTTGCCGTATCACCATCAGTGGTAATCCGTTGAGGAAGGGATCGTTGCGGCTTGCAATTGATTCAGACGCGTTGGGTGCATCCGTGGGTATTTGTTCCCCTTGACGATCCTGATCATCGGGTCCGGTCCAGTATCACATACGTGCATCGACAGGTCATGTGCACACGCGGCTTCCTATTTCGATGGCCTCCAGTGTGTCGTTGACGGGCGGGGTCATAGTCGCCCCTCATAGTATTCGAGCTCACGTGGCGCTCATCCAATTCTTTGTCCGTCACTTGTGCGGGGAGGAAGGATCAGGACGAGGCGAAGCGCGGCTCCCCACCCCCATCGCTGGCGCCAGGCCGAGGCGCTGCCCAGGGAGAGCCGCCCGCCGGCGTCGGAGCCGTCATGCGAGCCGCGCGCCGCCAGGACGCGGTGGGCCAAGCGACCGAAGATCGCCCAGGCGGCCTCCGCCGCCTGGCCAGTGACGAAGACAGCGAGACCGCGGCGGCATGGGCGACGTGGGAGAGGGGGCCAGGTGAGCCTCCGAGAGACCACGGAGGATTCTAGGAAGTCCACGTGGTTTTGGGAGGCCCGGGGGGGGGCACGGGGAAGATCCAGGAGACTTCGGGAGGCCCTGTGGGCCTTGGGATGATGAGGGGGTGTAGCAGGGGAGAGGGCAGGTAGGAGATCGGGATGGTGCGCGAGGATTTGTCCAACATTTGAGATGTTCTGTCGGAAACATGAAGCATACATCGAATGTTCGCATGTCTGCGAACATGGTTTTCAAACATGTTGATCCGAGGGATCATCAATTCTGGGGTATATGAATTCTGTAGTCGATCATCTACTCGAAGGATGGCAGGAGACAGCGGGGGCAGGGCGGGGGAGAAGCGGACGGGAGAGGAGGGGGAGGATACCAGGAGGCAGCAGGGGAGATGGAAGGGGAGGAGGGCGAGGAGGGGAGAGGAGGGAGGGACAAGCTAGGTGCCCAAGCGTCATATCTGACGTCATACCCCTCCCTCCCATCACTTACATTGCGTTGATATCCTCTCTGATGCCCGGCTATAGAATTCATGTGCCGCAACATTGATGTCCTGTCCGATCGAAACATTTGCAAACCACGTTCGTAGATATGCGACTTATTGCGAAGGCCTTACGGCCGGTGCCGCCGACCCTGAAGGGGAACGACGACGGCCGTTGCGGCGGTAGCGACGACGACGATGCTGACGTGGGTTGAGTCCTCAAACGTGCTTCTCGGGGTTTCTTCCGAGCGCTCTCGGGGGCCTCTGGGGGGATGTTTGGGGGCCTCTTGGGAGCCTCTTGGGGCCTCTTTGGGCTTCCTGGGGGCCTCTTGGGGGCTTCTCGGGGCTGAGGGCTCGAAATGTCCGTTCGGGTCCCCCGTCTGGGCCTTCTCTTGGAACCGTCTTGGGGGCCTCTTGTGCCGTCTTGGAGGCGTCTTGGGCCGTCTTGGGGCACTCTTGGGCCGTTTGGGGACGCTCTTGGAGGCCTCTTGGGCCGTCTCGGGGCGACCTTGGGGTCCTCTTGGGCCGTCTTGGCGCGTGGGGAAGCGGAAGAGGCGAGAACGCCAAAATGTTTGAAATACGTAGATGAAAAATATGATTTTTGCCTCTTGGGGCTCTCGTGGGAACGGTCCTGGAGGCCTCTTGGGGCGTCTCGCAGGCCTCTTGGGCCGTCTGGAGGCCGTCAAGGCGTCTTGGACAGATCATTCGGCGATTCGGGGCCCTCTTGGATCGTCTTGGGGGCCTCTTGGGGCACTCTTGGCCCGTCTTGGGGCTTTTTTGGGCTCCGGGATTCCCCGGGGGGGCGGCGTAAAAACCCGGGACCTCCCCCGGGACCCCCCCCGGGACAACCCCCTCCCCCCCCCGGCGGGGAAGGGATCAAAGGGAAGGGGCTTCCCTTCGACTCAATTACGACGCTGCTCAATTTCGCTTTGGACTGGCACGCTTCAGGAGGAGGCCCTGGGAGAGGGGTAGAAGCAACGACGCTGTGGGGAAAGGGGAAGGAACGACGACGACGACGACGAAGAGGGAACAGATGGAGAAGCCTCTTCCACACGCCGACAGGGTCGGCGGATTTATGTACGCTTCGTATGTTCGACATTTTCTGTTCAAACAATTCGCATGTCCTCAAAGAGGGTATCCGGGCTACGCCACGGAAGCACCACCAACAAAACAGAGGTGATACGCGACAGTACCGACACTGGGCCATACTCAGGAATCCCCCATTCCAAATGAGCAATGCCAGCCAGGGAGAGAGAGAGAGAGAGAGAGAGAGAGACAGACAGAGAGCGAGAGAGAGAGAGAAAGGAGGAGGAGCAAGACAGTATTAGAGCGTTGTCTGTGCATTTCCCCATGATCCGAACGATCATTATAAGTATTAGGCATCACACAACACCAATCAATGAGCCGCATCATGGCACAGTGCATGGCACAAAGCTGGAATATACCCCGAATTCCAGACACGAGACGCGTAGGGCGAAATCAAATGTTGGGTGCACGCACTCGCCAACTATAGAAACTGATACTGGAGGCGGGCACTGCGGCGCCCGGCAAACGCGACGCTGCTCCGCAGCGGCTCACAAGGGCAAGCCTGGGCGGCAAAGCGACCCAGGGTCGGCCAGCAGTGGCCGCAGGCACCACCGCGCAATGCCCGTGCAGACAAAACAAAACAAAACATGTTCGACAGAACATTTCAAATGTTGGACACATCCTCGCGCACCATCCCGACCTGCCCTCTCCCCTGCTACATCCCCTCATCATCATCCCAGGGCCCACAGGGCCCCCTGAAATCTTCTGGAGCTTCCCCGTGCCTCCCCCCCGGGCCTCCCAAAACCAGTCAGACAGGGCAAGGATTCCGAGAGAGCACGCGATGCATGGTATAACACGGCCCAGCATGGCATAGAAGAGCTCGGCCATAGCCGACGTCGTCGCGCCGAGACAGCGATTCATGTCGACAACAAGGTCAGAGGGAAACCAGAAATGACAGGACGGGAAATTCAAATGGACGGTTTGGCAAGCGGGAAGCGTAATATGAGATCAGCATTGCAGCGGGAGCACGATTTCGAAGAACAGAAACCGCAGAAATGATATCAGCGCTGCAGTGGGTGCACGACTTGGAAGGACTGGAAGCGCTGAGCCGAAGCCAACGCTGCAGCAAGAGCACGATTTGGAACTGAAATAATTAAATGAATGGGAAAGACATCTGAACTTTCATGTCGGCGGCATCCTGTGAAGATTAAAAGTCCGCGCAGGAGGCCAGGACACCTCACCGGCGTCTTCGGGGCAGAGAGGAGAGTAGTATTCATATGGCGAAATGGGTTGAGAGGAGGGAGAAAGGGGGATGGAAGGGGAAGGTGGAAGAGAGTATAGAGGGGGGGTCGGGCTTGGCAGATGGAGGGAAGGAGGGTAGGAAAAAGGCAGGGGAGGGATGGAGAGAGATGGACGGGAGATAGCAAAGAAGAAAAGGAGGGAGGGAAAGGGGAAAGCGAGGGAAGGGGGAGGAGGGGGGAGAGGAGGAATTTCACGACGGAGGGGTCATTGTACATTATTGCATAGGCCCAGATCCGTAGGGGACCTTCGAGTATTCGAAACAACATGTTCCAAACGTCTCCCAGAGGTATTTTGCAATTATGTTTGTCCTGATGGTATCTTAGTTATTTGTGGAAGAGAGGGGTGCGGTGCCCTAATTCGGAGGAGGCGCTGGTCCTTTATTACGTTTTCCCGTTGTCTGGGTGCGCTGAATTTCTCGGAGTTGCCTGGGGTTTCCCAGTTGCCTGGATCGCCCTGGTTGCCCGGTTGCCCGATTGCCTAGTATTCCCGGCAATGCAATCAATGCGAATGCCATTGCCAATCAATGAAATACAATGCCAAGCAAAAACAGGCAATGCCAATGAGTGCAAATCAAAGCAATGCCACAGCAACGCAAAGCAATACCAAAGCAATGCCAAGCAATGCAGAGCAACGCAAAATAATGCCAAGCAACGATTCCAAGCGATGCCAAGCCCATGGCAAGCAATGCCAAGCCACAGCAAGCAATGACAATCAACGCCAACCAGCGATTCCAAGCAACGCCAAGCTAATGCCAAACCATGCAAAACCAACGCCAAGCAATTTCAATCAGTTGTTTTTGTATATTGTTTCGCCGATCGGCGTGGGCCCTGCCCCCCCCCAATCCCCTCGCCACAGACCAGGTTCTGGCTGCTTTCGGCGGCGACGCTGCTTTTGGCGACTGGGCAGGGCCCACCCCCCAATGTGCTTGCGCGACTGGTAGAAGCAGATCGACTAAGCACTGGCCCAGGCCCAGACACCCACCGTTCCCCCACAATTCGGGCAAAGACCGAAACCCAGAAATCAGTGCCACAAGCAACGACGCCAAATGCCGAGCAACGCCACGCACTGCCAAGCAATGCCAAGCAATGCTTTGCAGTGAATTGCGAGGCTCTGCATCCGGTTTGAATTCTTCTGGGAGAAGACTCCTAGTTGGGGTTCGCTCCAGGCTCATGCTGAATGTTGTGAGCATGCCATGGGAATGCCCGCGCCAGCGTGATGTTGGTTGCCTGCAGTAGCGGTGATCCCGCAGTTTGAATTTCCGTTGCCGCTTCGCCTTTGTTCCGTCTCTCCATTCTCTCGACGTCCCTCTGCCCCCATTCCTCCTTTACGCTCCTCCCTCTGCCCTCCTCCGTCGTTCCGTTCCTCGTCCCCCTTATCCCTTTCCTCCCTCCTCCGTCAGCCCACCCCCCTCTCCCCCCCCCCAACTCCAGGAGCTGGGGCCAAGTTGTCTTTCTTGCTCGGGTCGGGGGCAGCCCGCGCGTTTGAAAGGATCAACGTAATGCACCTGACATTCAACTTTCTTCGCGACAAGTCTTATCTTACGTTATATGCGGAGCATGTGCACCAACGCATTCGCCAGCGTTGACCCCAAACAGTGAGTGATGCCACTGTGGAGGTGACAGTTGTGCGGTGTGAGCTAAGTGGTGTAAGCTATGTCGTGTGAGCGCTGTGGTGTGATATTTGGAGGTGAAGGCTATGCGGTGTAAGCCTTTTTGTGCAACACATGAAGTGCAAGAAGCTATGCGGTGCGACCTGGAGGTGGAAACTGTGCGATGTGAGCTACGTTGTGTAAGCTATGCGATGTAAGCTATGATGTGTGAGCTAAGTCGTGTATGCTATGCGGTGTAAGTGGCGCCCACGAGCGCCCGCGAGGCGGCACGGGCGGTAAAGTGCCGCAACCTTGGCAAGCCCCTTCAAGCGCATGGGGCGCCCACGAGCGCCCACCAGGCGGCACTGGCGGCAGCGTGGCAACCCGGAAGAGTCAACGAATGATTCGAGAAAGGAAAGACAAAAAGCCCGAACGGCAAGCTTCGCTGCGGGAGTGCTTGAGATTAGTGTTGGTACTGTTCACGACGCGAGGGCGCCCAGTCAGGAGAAGGATCGAGAGAGATCGAGCAGGGGTCGTTGCCCGCTCCCCAGGCGACCGCTGGACCCACGGCGCGCCCGTCCGCCAGCCTGGCGGCTGGCGCTGCCGCGGCCGACCCGGAGGCGCAGCGTTCCCCCCCCCCGACCCGGGACGAGAGACGAACCTGGAACCCGTGCGAGGCGTGTGCCAAGTGGGCGCGAGGCGGCATGCGCTGCACCCACGGGGGTCACAGGTGGAGCTCCACCAGAAGGGCACCAGGATGTTTTGCGGGCTTGCCAGAAGAAAGGCCCTTAGCTGAGTGATTGCAAACCACTCCGTTGTGGTGTGCAACCCACTTCGTCGTGGTGTGCAACTAGCTTGCATACCCTTGCATCCACTGCATGTACATCGCGGACATGCTATCTGGCCCCCCTATGCCAACTTCTAAAAATTGTTGCGCCACGTGCACGTGCATAGTTTGTTGTTTACCGCCCCAGGTTATTAAGTACGTGGAAGTAATTGCTAAGTCATGAGGTTCATATTTATATACAACTCGCAAATACGTGCTAAGTGTTTGTACGTACATGCCGACATGCATTGATGCGTAGCATAACGACACGGTGTTGCACATACCAAACAGCGATGCAGAGCAAACAAACCAATATTCTCCACAAGTTGAGCTATCAAACATGCGTTTCGCGACACTTGTCCTTGGCGAAAAACCCAGCCATGTGAAGTTGTGCGTACCTCAGTTGTGAGCCTCGCCTTATGAAGCGTGTGAAGGGTGCGAACCCTGCAAGCGAGCGCTAACTAACAGTTAAAGGGGGGGCGCTGAGGAAATGATGCGGCTGCGGTTTCCAATCGGAGCGCGCGGCGCTGTTGCGCTCGAGGAAAGGGCGTTACGAGCGAAGGGTGGCGGCGGAGGCTCGCTGCTAGGGAGCAGCGCGACCGACGAGCCTGCCGCTCCAACGATCCGTGTCAGCATCGATGGAGTGGACGTATCATATATATATATATATACAACAGTTGACCCGCTCGCTGCGCTTCGCCTTTAAGACCATAGGGCCTATGTGGCTCAGAGGGCTCACAGGGCGCAAAGGGCATATTATTGGGTTCTCAGGGCTCATGAGCCCATAGGGATCTGGGGGCTCATAGGGCTTAAAGGGTTCATTCGGCTAATATGGCTCATAGGACTCATAGGGTTCATGGGACTCATAGGGCTCATAGGGCTCGTAGGGCTCGTAGGGCTCATAGGGCTCATAGGGCTGATGGGGCCAGTAGGGCTCATAAATCTCATCGGCTTCATCGGCCTCATAAGGTTCATCTGGCTCATGAGGCTCATAGGACTCATGCGGCCCATGCGGTCCATAGGAGTCATAAGGCTTATAGAGCCCATGAGGCATATGTGCGCCCCCCCCCCCACCCATTTCGGCACACCCCTTACACACTTCGTCGCCCCATGGGGACCCCCACTGTAAGGCCCCAGTGGCAGGGTTCGCATGCGTCCCCCCGCCCATTTCGGCACACCCCTCACACGCTTCGTGGTCCCATATAGGGAGCTCCACCGAACGCCCCAATGGGAGGTTCGCACGCGTCCCCCCGCCCATTCTGGCACACCCCTCACGCGCTTCGTGGCTCCATGGGGAGCTCCACCGAAGGCCCCAGTGGCAGGGTTCGCATGCGCCTCCCCGCCCATTTCGGCACACCCCTCACACGCTTCGTGGTCCCATATTGGGAGCTCCACCGAAGGCCCCAATGGGAGGGTTTGCATACGCCCCCCCGCCCATTTCGGCACACGACGCACACGTTTCCCGCGGCCCAACAATCAACGAATCGGCACCGAATGTGGAATCATTCCCAACCATCCTGTGGTGTTGGGTCCTCGTTTTGAAAAGACGTCGCCCCGCGTTCCTTCCTCCTCCTTCCTCCTCCTCCCCTTCCTTCCCCCTCCATTCTGGCACACCCCTCACACGTTTCGTGGCCCCATAGGGAGCTCCACCGAAGGCCCTAGTGGCTGCGCCCGCATGCGGTTCCACCCCTCCATTCTGGCACACCCCTCACACGCTTCGTGGCCCCACAGGGAGCTCCACCGAAGGCCCCAGTGGCTGCGCCCGCGTGCGGTTCCACCCCCCATTCTGGCACACCCCTCACACGTTTCGTGGCCCCATAGGGAGCTCCACCGAAGGCCCCAGTGGCTGCGCCCGCATGCGGTTCCACCCCCCATTCTGGCACACCCCTCACACGTTTCGTGGCCCCATAGGGAGCTCCACCGAAGGCCCCAGTGGCTGCGCCCGCATGCGGTTCCACCCCCCATTCTGGCACACCCCTCACACGTTTCGTGGCCCCATAGGGAGCTCCACCGAAGGCCCCAGTGGCTGCGCCCGCATGCGCCCCATCATTTGGCACACCCCTCACACGTTTCGTGGCCCCATAGGGAGCTCCACCGAAGGCCCCAGTGGCTGCGCCCGCATGCGGTTCCACCCCCCATTCTGGCACACCCCTCACACGTTTCGTGGCCCCATAGGGAGCTCCACCGAAGGCCCCAGTGGCTGCGCCCGCATGCGGTTCCACCCCCCATTCTGGCACACCCCTCACACGTTTCGTGGCCCCATAGGGAGCTCCACCGAAGGCCCCAGTGGCTGCGCCCGCATGCGGTTCCACACCCCATTCTGGCACACCCCTCACACGTTCCGTGGCCCCATAGGGAGCTCCACCGAAGGCCCCAGTGGCTGCGCCCGCATGCGGTTCCACCCCCAATTCTGGCACACCCCTCACACGCTTCGTGGCCCCATAGGGCTGCGCTCGCATGCGGTTCCACACCCCATTTCGACACACCCCTCACACGCTTCGTGGCTCCATAGAGAGTTCCACCGAAGGCCCCAGTGGCTGCGGTGGCATGCGGTTCCACACCCCATTCTGGCACACCCCTCGCACGTTTCGCGGCCCCATAGGGGGCTCCACCAGCACTGCCCGCTTGCGTCCGCCACCACCCAGCACAGCCCTTGTTCCCTGCGCTTCACCCTTGCTCCCTGCCTGCGTTTCACCCACCCAGTACAGCGTCTCGTGGCCCCATAGGGAGCTCCACCGAAGGTCCCAGTGGCACCGCTCGCATGCGTCCGCCACCACGCAGCACAGCCCTTGCTGACCGCGTCTCACCCACCCAGTACAGCGTTTCGTGGGCCCATAGGGAGCTCCACCGAAGGTCCCAGTGGCACCGCCCGCATGCGTCCGCCACCACCCAGCACAATTGCGGCATTCACATTTGCATATGGTTGGGTCCTTCGCGCCAGGCTAATTTCAGATGGTTTTTGGTCGGGGGGCATCTTCCAGAGTTTGGGATATATCTGAAAGGACCGAAAAACATACCGTGGCATGGCGCTGGAAATAATGACGCCAGCGCTGCAGCGGGAACACGATTCGGAACAAGTGGAGGCGCGGAAATGAGGCCAGCGCTGCAGCGGGCGCACGACTCGGAATGAGCGGTCGTCCGAAAATGAGGCCAGCGACTCAGCGAGAGCAGCATGGAGGAACACAAACCAAGCGAAATCCCAACTCCCGGGAATCCTGTGTGTAGAAAGCCCGTACGCGGAGGGGGGCTGGACATTCCCTGGACGCCACCCGGGGAGAGAGGAGCGTAGTATTCATATTGTGTAAGTGTGGAAGGAGAGGGAGGAACCTTCATTGGCACACTACAGTGAATTCGTTCGCCCTGATTGGCCAGCGGCAGCGCCCATACGGCGGCCCCGCCCCATTCGGCGCTCCCTTCGAGCGCTTCTTCGTGGCCCCGTCGAGAGCTCCACCGACTGCAGTTCTAGCAGCGGCGGCTTTCATAATTCTTAGATGGAGTCAGAGACCGCTGCGCTCTCGGGAAGGTTTGGTTTTCGCGCCTCTATGTCGATCTAGGTCGGGGAACCGATTCCGAGCCGAGGCTCGCCGAGGCCCAAACAAGAATGCTTCGTTACGAATTGAGCGTTTCGTATGGCAGCACGATGGATGTAGCGGACGGGGGTTTTGTTTCTTAGGCAATCGCTTGACCTTTTCAGGATTTTCAAGACTTGTCTTCAGGAGTCTCCGGGCGAGTATCAGAAACACGAGGCTGTTTCGAACGGGAGTGCCCTTTGCGATTCAATCGCAGCAAAAATGATACGACGTACGGATGCCCAACCGTTATGCTCGATCGTGTGTAAGACGGCACGGCCATGTGCCATGCATTTCCAGAATTGGATCCCGACCGTCTAACGACATTCGGTGACCACGACCACTCAGGCTCGAATGTGTTGTTCGACAGTGTTGGTCCAACCACGTAGCTCGACCGCGTTCGCACGTCCAGCCGAGCGAGCACTTAGCTTCGACCATGTATCCAAACGTTCGGACCACGACCATGTTGTTCGACCATGTACGTAGGTACGTAGGTCCAACCGACTAGCTCGATTACACAAGTCGGACCATGTAGTTCGACGTACGGAGCTTGAGCACGCAGGTTCGACCATTTGGTTTCGAGCATGCAGCACGGACTTGAGGTGTAGCTCTTGCCATTTAGGGGTGCACCCGACCAGCGTCCCAATGGAGAGATCTAGCCTAACGTTCTCGCCTTGCCTTGCCGGCTGAGTGATTTAATCGCCAGCCGGCGTTGGCCCACATTGAACGATGTTTGGATTGTTCGTGTTCTTTATCAGCTCCTGCTGCAGCGTCCGTTGCATTGGCCGTTCGTCGACGTGTTGCGCGGGAGGCTGTCGTGGTTTCTGTGGGTTCCCGAGCGTTTCCAGTTGCAGTGTTGCTTTGCTTGCTGTCGCAACGGAAGTCGGCGGCGGTCATTATGCCCGTCGGCAGTGCCGCCGTTTCCTTTAGAACGAATCGGGCCCCAGTTTTGCATTCTAAGCGCCTTGGCGCGGCACCGATAGAGTGACCCAGGTCGCGCCACAAGCATGATATGGGCCTCGCGCGGCTCTTCGCCCGTGGGCGAGCACGCGTGTTAAAGTCTGCACAAAGCAGCCGAGCAGTGGTGGTCTCACTGGCCAGGAATCTCCAGCTAATGTTGAGCGCGGCCCGCGGGCCGCGACCAGCGCGCACCTGCAGACAGCCCAAACGCGCTTCGCGGCATCTCCGCGAATTGGCCCAAGGGCCCAAGGGCAAAGAAAGGCAGTTCGCGTAAGTTCTTCCCCTTCCATTCGCCGGAAAAGGACGAGGAGGGCAACCCATCGGTGCGAAGGGTTCTCCATCGTCATTCGTGCGCTTGGCTGGGTCATGATGATGATGAGGAGGAGGAGGAGGAGGAAGAGGAGGAGGAGGAGGAAGAAGTCTATGAAGCCTGTGGGCAGGAGTTCTAGATTCGGGCCCCTCGCAGCGGTTTCGGTTATCGACGTGATGACGACGGTGGCCGAAAAGGGTCTGCCCGAAAGGGCAAATGGCGTTTGTTGCTGTTCCTTATAAGGCGGCGCAGGTGTCCCACAGACGGTTTGGATGAGGACTCCCCATCGAGAGTTTCGGAGGAGGCGGACGACGACGACGACGACGACGACGACGAGGAGGAAACACCGCCGCTCGAAGTCTGGCAGGAGCCGTCAGCGACAGCAGGGGGCAGGATCGCTATGCCCTTGGTCGCTTCCGCAGGAGCAGGCCGAGGCCGACGAGCTGGCGCGCGCGGCCAAGCGGGCGAAGCTCGACCTCGAGGGGCAGGCGTCGACGGCAGAGAAGGCTGCGGAGTGATGCAAAGATGTCTGCCCCATTTTTACGAGCGATCCCCACTGCCTTGGCCTCGGTTGGCTCGCGGGCGGGGGAGACCTCTAGATTACCTCGCGCCGTGTTCCACCCCGTACCTGAGCTGAGTGACAACCCTCGGGGTCGGGGGATGGTCTTGTGAAGGTGGGCGGGCAGCGGGAGGGGAAGGTACGCCCCGTGCAGTCCTCACCCATGGATGCACCTTACCGTCACATTCGACGTCTGCTCCCTTGTGGCTGCCGAGTGGAATTGGGATCGAGCCCGTTCGGCTGCCGTGCGGGCAAAGTCCCTGTCGAGTCATGCACCCCTCACCTACGGTTGGTTTCTGAGCCAATCTGACGTCTGAGCTCATTCGTCTGCCGAGTGGACGGACCTGGGCTAGAGCCCATTCGGCTGCCGAGCAGGCGAGAATCCTGCCAAACCTGTTGGAATGTCAACCCTTTCGGTAACTGATTGGTCTCAGACGCCGAGCGGAGTCAGCAGGGAACCCCGGGGCCCAAGCCCCTCAACGCCGTGACAGGATGTTCACAACGTGGGCCCATGGAGGTCTCGATCCCTTCCCTATGGCCAGTTGTTCATTCTGAGGTGTTTCTTGACGGTCCTGGGGCCTGGTAGCTCGCGCCAGTCCCCGAAAAATCAGTGCGAGGGTGTCTGGGATCGTCGTCGTCGCCGTCGACGTTTATTGGTTGCCCTGAGATCTCCGGCCCGCCAGCCAGGCGCTGCAGGAGTCCGAGCCGCAGCCGGGGCCGGAGGACCTGCAACACGCTGCGCGCGAGACGTGCCAGGGACTCAGCCTTGGCCACCGCATGCAGGGCCAAAATCCAGACGCATCGCAAGCAAAGCTGTATGCGATTGTGCACATTACTGGCCTCTGAAGGGCCTCACTATGCGGGGCCGTCAAAGCACGATTGCGGATGAACAACCTGCCCTAGGGGCCCATGTTTTGAACGAAAGTGGCGGGGATCTGGGTGGTCAGGGAACGAGGGTGTGGGGAGACAGGGAGTGGAGAAGCAAGTATGCCTCATTGAAGCCGGTTCGGAAAGGTTTGTCTGGGGGGCCAGATGTCTGGTCCCTTGCGAGGTTGTCCAATGGGTTGTCTGGCGAGGGTGGAAGTCACACGCTTCGCTTGCTGGATCGCTCATTGAATGGGCGCGCGAACAGCTGTGCACTGAGAGCTGTTTTTTTGAGCGGTGCAGGTATTTCTTCTCTTCCCCACTCCATCTTCCCCTCCACATTCCTTCCCACCCCTGCCTTCGGGGGCGAGGGCACCTGCGCATACTGGTGTTCACCGTAGTGTGCCCAAACAACCTTGATCAGAAGTGTGCTGTTTGTGTGAGGGCGTGATGGTGATGGCAACGGCCACTCTTGATGTGTCGATCATTCCATTTGGCTTCCTGATTTAAGTGGGTGAGAAGAAGACAGAGAGAGAGAGAGAGAGCGAGAGAGAGAGAGAGAGCGAGAAGACAACAGCACAAGAGAAAGAGAAAGAGAGAGGGAGATGGAGAGGAGGAGGACGACGCGAAGGAGGAGGAACAGGAAAGGGGAGGAGAACAGGACATTGCTGAGACATCGCTGTCGCCAGGCAGTCCCGCAGTCCACGTACTCACCCCGCGCCCGCCGTACTGAGGAAGACACTCGAGACATCCGAATCTTCGTGGCCTCATCATAGTGGCCAACGATTCGTTGAACTTGGAAGGTGCAAGCCCTGGCTTGCACGTCCAATATTCGAAGCTCTGCTCCCAGATGGACTCCCTGCGAGACGCCCTCGCCAAGACGTGGACAGAGGTCACGAAGAGGGATTGCGCCGACGACCCAGCCCACTCGCCTACGCCTCTCCGCTGCCGAGCCTCGCTGAGCCACACCGTGGCCGCTCCACCAACCGCGGCCACGCAGATCTCCGCTTCCAGACGGCGTTCGGGCAAGGCTCGTCCGATTTTGGATCTGACTGCGGAAGTCCAGATTCGCGGCGAGGTGGGCCACGTCGACGCCGCCAGCTTGGAGAAGTTCATGTCGCACGTTTGCGGATCCAATGGCTTGCAATTCCAACGTGCCGCCAGTATCCATAATCTCAGGGCTGGCGAATACATCCATTGCGTCAACCCCGCCACCCCAGCGGGCGCCCTCGCCCGCGCGCCAGATGACACCTGGCGTTTGCATGCTGCCCTCCACGGGCAATCGATCGCAGCTTGAGTGGATCACGTGGCCAACGAGGCGATCAACGACCCGATCAACATTCAGGCCAGGACGGAGGAAGACCCGAGGGCGCAATGGACAGCACCGTCTGCGCCCTCGGCCCCCGCAGGTGCCCAGCAGCCTACGTCTGCCACCAAGGAGCTCGCGGCGCGACCAAGGCCGTCTACGCCATGTACGTAGCCTTTCGTGCCCACGCCGGATCTCTGGCGCCGGCGGCCTTAGGCCGCATGGAGGAAAATGACGACGAGCCACGCCACAACCACTCCTTCGATCCTTCGACGTCAGTTGCCGTGCCCAGCCAAATTTTCCAGCGCGTCCCGTTTTCCAACGTCGTTCCGATGACTGTTTTCTCCTGGTCACGCCTCTTCTTCCGCCAGATGACGATGTTCTCCCGTTTTTTCGGGAACGCGAGCGAATTTGTGAGGATGTGCCTGTCCAGATCTGGCTTCGCCATCGTCTGTGGAGCGCTCCCGGCCTAGTCGCACAAGGCGCAGCCGCGGGGCACCCAAGCCCTACGCCGCCTTCGCCTCTTCCTCCGCCTCCCGCGAGGCGTCGGGGCCAGCGTGGCGGCGACGATTGAGAACATCACTGGGCGCCGCGAAGTGCTCGCCGTACTTGGCGGGGACTTCAACTACGTCGTTGGGCGCAGGAGCCAGGCGTCGCCGTCGCCAAGAACATCATGCGGCTCTGGCAGACGCGACGGGGGGGGGCACTTCCAGATCGTCGTTGCGAAATGCTGCGGCTTGTTCACGTTTTGCCAGGGGGAGTTCGCCCGCGCGTCGGCCTCTGCCCGATCGCATTTGGACCGCTTGGACCTCGACTTCCACGCTTCCGAGCAACATAGACCTGTGGGCCCAAACTACGGCCTTGCAGTGGCGACGCGATCTGTCCCACCACCGCGCTGTCTTGGCCTCGCTGCGTTCCGCCAGCCGCCTGGGCGACGTGGGCCAGCCGCTACCGAACAGGGCCCTCCTGCACAAAGGTTCCCCGAGGCGCCTGATGTTGAGCTCCGCGACTGGCAGCGGGCCAATGTCGAGGCGAAGCCGTGGGCTAAGGTGCGCCTCTACAAGCACCGCACGCGGACAGTCGCCAACCACCTCGAGCATGACAACAGAGTTCCGCACCCCGCCGTCGATCTGGAGGACAGGTTCGGGGTCGAATTGCGCCTCGTCCAGGCGATTAAGGGCGCGCAGCGTTGTTTATTCTTGTTTGTCACGCTCGCCACAGTTCAAACAAATGTCAGCAACCCGTGCGGTTCCCATGGCAATCTCACGAGAAATCCTGCACAGGTCAAAGAAAGTACCAATGCTTTGGCTCGGGGCCAGGCCCTCGAGGATCATCGCCGCTCGCGCGGCGACCTGAATGGCCCCGGCGGCCACGTTGCCGACCGCGCCGGGCAGAAAATCAACAGGCTGGCATTCAGATTGACTCCGGGCCGGGCCAATGCCATCGGGGCCACCCTCGAAACCTCGGGCGGGGGCACGGCGTTTTCACAAAAGATGACCACGACGTTCTCCGCTCACTGGTCGAAGGTCTTTCAGGCCAAGGGCATCGCGCGGAGTGGTTGCGGGAAGATGGCGCTGCCAAGTGCCAAACGACCCGCGGACTCGCTGCCCCTGGCCCCGAACAGGCTGCAGTTCAAGTGCAAGCACATCGCCAGGTGCTGCGAGGATCGAACAGTTCATTCCTCGCCAGGGCTCGATGGCACCCTATTTCTGGCGCGGAGGCGGCGCTCGAAGTTCCCCGCTGCCCCCCTGCACGAGGCTGCCAAGTCCATCCTTCACTCGAGCGTCAAGGGCATCCCGCGCGAAGACTTTGAGATGCTGAGCGGGGGCCCCCTCTTCCTCCCACCGCAGAAGCAGCCTGGCGCAACCGGCGAAGGGGCGGCCATCCACAAACTGGCGAACGCGCGGCCAATGAGCGTCACCAACGCACATAACCGGGCGCTCTGCAACGCGATTCGGATAGCCATTGTGCCAGCGGTCTTTCAGCGCATCTTCGACGTGCAACGCGGGTCTTTGAGCGGGAGTTCAACGCTCGCAAATTCAAACGCGACCGACGCGGGCGAAGCCACGGCCACGGCGATGCGCAATTCAGCCGACAGCGCCGCGTTATCATTTGATTTCGCGGTGGCTTTCCCGTCCATCGAATGCGAGTTCCCGATGCAGGTGTTCCATCGTCCTTCTTGGTCCGACTGGCTGCTCCGCTTCGTCCGATGCAGGTGCTTTATTGTTTTTCCTCGTCAGATTGGCTGCTCTGCCTCATAGATGCCCCGTGCGCCTCCGACGCCTGCGAGCTAGCCATGGGCGCGGGCGGGGCCCGGCAGCGGGGTTCCGCGATCGCCCGGGGAGCTCGCAAAGGATTCCCGCTGCCCCCGCTGCTCCTCTTGGTGGCGACAGGCTTCCCGTTGCGAAGGGAAGCGCGCGATATTCCAGACTGCGCGTTGCGCGCGCGGACGTCGCCGCCTTGGTGCGCCAGAACATTTGAAGCGCGCCGCCCCAGATGGAGCTCATCTTTGTTGAGTCTCACCGCGCGTCGGGCATAGCGTTGAACGTCGATGAGATCGCGTTCGCGCCACTCCGAGGAGAGCTTGGAGAGCGCCCGCGACCGGCCGGCTCAAGCCGCGGCGCTCCGGGGCTCCACGAGCGCCGCGTCGCCCGATGCGACGAGTACCTGGGTTTTGTCGCGCGCCCCGGCCGCGGCGACCTGCCTCGGGGCGCCCTGGTCGGCTAGTTCACCGCGCGGGCCATCGTCGGGGGAGACTTGGGTCCGGGGGCTCTGAGCGCCATCCTGCCGTGCCAGGCTCTCGCCCTTCCGACGTCGCTCCTCATCTGCCAGCAGGGTCTTCTGCCGCAGCACGCGCTGGAGGCAAAGGCATCTGCGTTCAAGTCGATGTTCGGGGGGCCTCCGCTGGGCTTCGGGCTCGCGGCTAAAGCCCCTAAAGTGGGCGGTTCGGCTTCCCCGCCGAAGTCCCAGGCCTGGTCTCGATCGCGTTGCCCGCGAGGGCGCGCGTGGCCTTGCGCCAGAATGCGCCAGCGAGGCGGTCCGCGGGTTAGCCGGAGGGCTCGCGAATATCGCCAATTGCTGAGCCCGCTGGCCTGCGCAGCCTGGGCGTCGAACCGCGGCGGATGGATCATTCTCCAAGCTTTATTCTCGTTGGGAGCTGCCGACCCCCAGGCGCGCGGCGCTCGGGGTTGGGGCCCGGCCGAATCGGCCGTCAACGTGGACTGCCGCAACATGGCAGCTGGCAAGCCCGGATCAGCATGGCATTGTGGCCGCCGTTGGAGGTCGATGCCCAGGTCCACCCACGGCGCAGGTTGGGCCACCTGCAGTAGCGGACGTTGCCTGGCCACCAAGCGGAGTCGCAAGCACATGCGCCGCCTCTCCGTCTTGGTGGTCCCCCGCGAGCAGTCCGCGACGTTTCGCGCCGCCGTGCACAGCTGGTCGACGGCTAGCAGATACGAGGAGTGGCACCGTGCTGTTTCGGCTGCCGGCGTGGTTCCGGCTCAATCCCGCATTGTGTTGGCTGTGGTGAACGTTGTGCGCTCCGCGCGCGGTCGCCAGCGCCCACTTAGCCGCGGATGGACTTCTGGCTCGAGGATTATGATGTCCCAACCTGCTTTAGCCTCGACTACCAGAAAGAGTTTCGAGCACCAAGAAACTACCGAAGCACGAGGGTTTCCACCTGTCGGGCACTGCGAGGCGATACTCGCTCGACACCGTTTCGATATTATTGTTGGTTGCTCGAATTAGTTTGGGGATATGGTCATTAAGTGCCATGGGAGCAACATAACTCGAGGACTTCATCTGGTCGGGCATCGAAGCGGCCTGTTCGGCACATGCGTCTGGGGCTGGTCACGAGGACCGCAATCACTCGTGCCTGGCGGTCGCCGTCAACGCGACATGTCGCGCTCGGGCTGCAGTCCGTGGCGAGGCTCCGGTCGCGGACGCCTCCGCCCTCCCGCGCGGTTTCGTTCGCGAGGCCACGCGCGGGCACCCGGCCAAGGGGCGCGCCGTGGCCCCTACCAAACACACAGCAGCGGGAGTAGTAATTCAGCGAAGATTTCCTTTTATCGTGCCGCCGCTGCCTTTCGATACTCGGGGGCGTGCTCCCTGGATGTTTCCTTGCCGCACGTGGTCATTCACGGCGTTCGTTTTGTTTCAGTCTGCCGCTAAGCTTGTTCTGCCCTCCCCTCCTCCCCTGCTTCATTCGCCCTCTCCTCCATCCCTTTCCCCTCGGATGCGGCTGCGCGTTGTCGGTTTCGATAAGTGGCAGTTTCGTCCGCGGGGGTCATCCGCGCAGCTCCCTTGCCCCTTCTCTTCCTCCTCCTCCTCTTCCTCTTCTTCCTCCTCCTCCTCCTCCTCCTCCTCCTCCCCTCCTTCCTCTTCTCCCTTCCTCCTCCTCCTCCTCCTCCTTCTCCTCCTTCTCTCTTCCCTCTGCGCGGAAACTGCCCTGGCAATGCTAATTGTCACGGGTAGCTCGGCCAGGCGTTGGTTGTTACGTCCGCTTGCTATGTGCAGAATCGCATCGAGACCGTACCCGGTATTATTGACGCAACCTCGACGGGGCGCATTGTCGTTTGTGATATTGGGTACTTGGCCAGCGTTGGCCATACATTCAGGATTTCTTCACGGATGTGTTTTGTCGAAGTGTTGTCCGCCCCATCACCCCCCCACCCAAAACAAATGAGACGAGACCAGCCCTGGGCCGCGGCCGAGAAAAAAGTTCCCCCGATCAGACCGAGGTCAGGGGCCCAGTGCGAAGCGCCCGCGGTGCAGCCCCCCGCGGCCTGGGCTGCGTCGCAGGGCCCGCCGCTTGCTGCTGGACGCGGTGCCGTTGGGGGAAGGGTTCGTCAGGCAGGAATGTCAGATAGATCGTTCCAGCGCGTTCCAGGACGCTTTCAGAGAGATTTTGAGCTCTCTGGAACGGCCGCGGCGCCCGACGCATCCTCAGGACCCGCTTGCCCCCAGAGATGTTCGATGATATATCCGAACCCGTTGTTATTTTCACCTTGCCCCCGTTTTGGCTCGATCGAGGGAGGTGCGCTGATTTTCTGTATTGTTTTATGGTGTTCGCCAGCGACTGCCCCCTTTCCCCCCGCTCCCACGGCCGACTGGCAAGGAAGATATTCGAAAACCATGCGATGGCGGTGTCAGGACGGCATTTGGAGACCATGGGTACGGGACGTGGCGTTCTCGTGCCCCAAGGAGCGCTTGGACAAGCCAGGGTCGGGTGAGGGCAAGCAGGGATGGTGCTACGGAAACGGAGGAGACGGATGGTGGGGTGTTGAGGACGAGGAGGAGAAAGAGAGGGAGGAGGAGGAGGAAGAGGAGGAGGATGACCAGCAGCATGCTTACTCGACGCGGATATCCCCATATGTACATCTCATAGTGATGGCAAATTCTGGTAGAACACATGTTCCTATTTCGATATCCGAGTGTCAGCGAATCCACGTGGAAAACGAGGCCGAGCGAGACGCCGACGACTACGACGACTTTGAGTAGTTGCTTCCTTTTTCCGTCCTCTTCCTCCTCCTCCTCCTCCTCCTCCTCCTCCTCCTTGTCCTCCTCCTTTTTCTCTTCCTTTCCATATGAGCACCTGGCCCGTGCGATACCCCCTCGCGCCACCCTTAGGGAGTGCTGAAATCAGCGCCTCGCCTGAGACATCCTCGGAAATTGCTCCGAATGATAAGGATGTTGGGCACCCGAGCAGGCACACCGCCTGAGACATCCCTCCAATCTGGGCGCGATCGGGCCCGTGCAAAACCGATTTGCGCCCCCCTTGGAATTCTGAAATCAGCGCCTCGCCTGAGACATCCTCGGAAACTACTCCGAAAGAGAAGGGCGTTGGGCACCCAAACGGGCAAACTGGCTGAGACATCCCCCCAATTTGGGCGCGAACGGGCCTGTGATACACCCCCTGGCGCCCCCCCCCCAGGGGGTACTAAAACCAGCGCCTCGCCTGAGACATCCTCGGAAACTGCTCCGAAAGACAAGGATGTCGGGCACCCAAACAGGCAAACCACCTGAGACATCCCTCCAATCTGGGCACGAACGGGTTTGTGATATACCCCCTGGCGCCCTCGGTTGGGAGTGCTGAAGCCAGCGCCTCGCCTGAGACATCCTGGGACTACTCTGAAGGATGTTGGGCACCCAAACAGGCGCGCCGCCTGCGTCGTCCCGCCAATCTGGGCGCGAACGGGCCCGTGCAATGCCCCCTTGCGCCCACCCTTGGGAGCACTGAAGCCAGCGCCTCGCCTGAGACATCCTCGGACACTGCTCTGAAAGAGAAGGATGTTGGGCACCCGAGCAGGCACACCGCCTGAGACAACCTCCCCGGTCTGAGCGCGAACGGGCCTGTGATATATTGTCTGGCGCCCCCCCTCTTGGGAGTGCTGAAGCCAACGCCTCGCCTGAGACATCCTCGGAATCTTCTCCGAAAGAAAAGGATGTTGCAGACAAACCGCCCGATACATCCCTCCAATCTGAGCGCGAAGGGGCCTGTGATATACCTTCTGGCGCCCCCCCTTGGGGAGTGCTGAAACCAGCGCCTCGCCTGAGACATTCTCGGAAACTGCTCCGAAAGACAAGGATGTCGGGCACCCAAACAGGCAAACCGCCTGAGACATCCCGCCAATCTGGGCGCGAACGGGCTTGTGATGCACCCCGTGGCGCCCCCCCTCTTGGGAGTACTGAAGCCAGCGCCTCGCCTGAAACATCCCCACAACGTGCGTGTGATTTTGCGCGCGGAAGCACCAGGAGTGTGATTGAGTCTGCGTATGAGTGATCCCGAGCATGAGAAACCTGAGTTTCAGGAGTCTAACTAAGAGCGGTTGCGTCTGAGTGCGAGTGAGTCTGAATATGAGTGAGTGTACATGTGAGTGAGCCAGAGGTTGGTGACCTGAGGGTGGGATGTGCGAGTGCGAGGTGTTCCGCGCGGTCTAAGTAATAGCCAAAGCCCCATCCTTCGGATGTGGGCAATAACAAGAATCCCATCCTTAGGATATCGGGAAACAAAAAGTCGGAAGAGGAAGGCCCGCGCCGTGTTGGAGGAAGGCGCCAGTGGGGCAGATTTGCGTGCTACGGGATGGCCAAGCCTACACGCACATTGGTGGCAAGTTCGTCGTCGAACGTCGGATCTGGCGGCGCGCGGGGCGAAACATTGATCTGCGCGACGCCGTCGGCCTTGAATAGCGAAGGAGACTCCAACACCCGATCGGGCGCGCGCCAACCGAAGCCGAGGAGTCTTCACCCTCGATCCCTCCCTCAATTTCTCTCGTGGGCCTGAACGCGCCCTTGGCTCAGAACGGCTGTGGGGTACGAATCAGCTTGAATGCGCGCGCCATTTTGAGAGCGCTCGTGTATCACGATCAACTCTCACATCTAATGAACGGAGCAGTGCAGCTGTGTCGGATGACATCGTTCAGGGCCCATCCATCTACAGTATCCGTACCCAGGGATGCCCAACGTTCGGATATCAAAGCAAAGGGTGCGTTCTTTCGAACGGGGATGTGGTTTACCAGACAAGGTGCAGTCCATTGACCGAACATTGGATTAAAACTTAATGCGACGCAGTGCGCCACGGTGATCAGCGCACGAGCAATAACGCAAATGTTTTGGATACTTGTGGCGAGAGTGCAAAGCTTGTCGAATCGCTCGGTTTTGTTCTTTTTGTTTTGATTTGCTTTTGTTTTTTTAATATAAAAAAGGCCTCAGTGAGAGCGTGGAAGCATATGACATGCCCATTCTTCCCAGAAGTAGTGCCCATGGGCCCGAGGAGCCCCCCAGCGATGGAGGATAATCTCTTCGGGGGTCCAAATATCGAAATCAGGACCGGGGGTATCCACTGTCTCCCACCCAGTGCTGGGGGAATCCAGGAATTATCGCACGACACAAGCAATGATCATCGTTCGAGCGGGAGGCGGTGCCTTGTCGTCGGAAGACGGGATGAGAACTCCGCGTGGAGCGTATGCCATGACGTGTAGGACGCAACTACTGGTTGGCCGTAGCGCGGATATCGAAGATACAGATCCCGACGTCGTCGGGGTTGAATCCGACGATCCCGAGGCTGAGTCGGAGGGCCACGGCGCCTTTGAAACCAGTTGCGCCGGGGCCGACACGATCGAAGGGGGCGGAGACGGCGCGCGCGAGGCCCCCGCGCAACGAGTAGCCAGCAGCGGCCCAGAGCCGACAAGAGAGCGCCCGACGCAGTCGAAAGCGTTGTGCTTGACCTTCCCAATCGCGGCGAACACGTTCCCGGGCGCAGGCGCGAGAGCAGATGTCTCAGGGCCAAGCTCGTTCCATCCGAGAAGGGTGCTGAGGGTGGAGATGCCGTGGTTTGAAGACCCCGTCGGAGCGAAGAGACGTCGGCCTGCCCCGTCGCAGACGCTTCGACGCGAGGTCGTCGCGGTGGATGGCGAAGAAGATGTGCCCAGCGGTGCCCTCAGGCAGGGCGCGGGCCGCGGTGGCTTTGCCGCTGGCCCCGCGCCATCCCCCGTCAACCTCTCCCACTGGGGCAGATCGATGGACGCGGGGGGCCCGAGGAGAGGAGAGAGAGAGAGAGAGAGAGAGAGAGAGAGAGGAGAGATAGAGAGAGAGAGGGGGGAAATATATATATATATATAGAGAGAGAGAGAGAGGAGAAGATGGAAGAAGAAGAAAAAAAAGAGAGAGAGAGAGAGAGAGAGAGAAAGAGAGGGAGAGAGAGAGAGAGGGAGAGATAGATATAGATATATATAGAGAGAGAGGGAGAGAGAGAGAGAGAGAGAGAGAGAGGAAAAAATAGAGACAAAAACAACAACAACAAAAAACGATAGAGACGAGAGAGGAATACATAGAGAGAGAGAGGGATAGAGAGAGAGAGGGAGAGAGAAAGAGAGAGAGAGAGAGAGAGAAAAAAAAAAAAGAGAGACAGAGAGAGAGAGAGAGAAAGAGAGAAATAAATCAACAACAAGTTCACAACAAGACAACACAACCAAACAAAGAGATTGAGAGAGAGAGAGAGGAAACAAAAGAGAGAGAGAGAGAGAGAGAGAGAGAGAGAGGGAGAGGGAGAGGGAGAGGGAGAGGAGAGAGAGAGAGAGAGAGAGAGAGAGAGAGAGAGAGGAGAGAGAGAGAGAGAGAGAGAGAGAGAGAGAGAGAGAGAGAGTGAGTGAGAGGAGAGAGAGAGAGAGAGAGAGAGAGAGAAAGAGAGAGAGAGAGAGAGAGAGAGAGAGAGAGAGAGAGAGAGAGAGAGAGACAGAGAGGGAGGGAGAGAGAGAGAGAGAGAGAGAGAGAGATAACCAACAAACGAACATCATATCGAGGAGTAACAGATGCCCCCCGGCGCGGGGGAGGGCCAAGTGGACGGCGTCTCTTGCCAGGTCTGGCGCGGCTACCGCGAACCAGGTGTCCGTCGGAGAAAGGCGCCGGGGCCCTACAGCCCGCGGCCCTGACGGCGCCGAACGCCGCTTTCTGGGAAGATTGGGCGATGGTAGCTGGCTGACAACATCGGCTTCTCACGCGGTGAGCGCATGAGTTTCAGGGCGCACCAGTTTCGCCTTTGCGCCGGGAGGCAGACCGCGCGCCGGCTCAGATGCTAGAACGACCCGAAGGACAGTTCTGTCGGACGCAGTCTAGTCATAACGAACTGGATGCAGACGACTGGGCGAGGGCGAACTTGAAGGCTGCGGGGGCCGAACGAAGGCCGCAGGGGCACGCGACGTGGCCGCCCGCGCGAGCGCGACGCGCGGCCTGCGGGGCGCCGAGAATGACGCGCTGGCCCACCGAAGAAGCAGAAGTGGCTTAGGCATTAGGCAAGGGAAACGCATAGGATGAACCTCAGGGCTGAGC